TCGATACTAAATTTTCAAATATTTAAGAAAGAAGTAAGTAAGCTATTTGATGCAAAAATACTATTAAGTCTCAATTTAGAATTTAGAGTTTCATCGATTTCATAGAAAACAATAGTTTTTGATATTTGGATAATAGTACTGAATTTGACTAGTTGCAAACTACCGTATTACTCTCTGAAGATTTCTCTCAATGTGTTACCGAACTATCGAAGTTTATAAGCTTTAAAGAGAAATCAATAATTATGGTTACAAACTATACAAGTAATATTGGCACAAACAGGACCTGAAACTTATGAAAATGTCGAAAGCTGGTTTTGCAATTAATTGATTTAATGGCTGAGTTAGAAAATGAAATCGTTTTCTACAGCTCAAGTTTGCTTACATAATTCAAGTGACTAAGCAGCTATTGGCTTTCTTCGGGCGATGTACTTACCTAGGTTCATGCCTAGTGCCAGCTTTCGCTGCGACAGAAGTCAGTGTGCAGAATCCTTGAGCCATTTAAAAATCCAAATCCAAACTTTCAAACTAATTAATGTTATAAATGCGAAAGTAACTCTGTCTGCCTGCCTGTCTTTTCTTCACGCCTAAAATATTGAACCGATTTCTTTAATATTTAGTACAGACATAGTTTGGAACTCCAAAAAGGTCATAGGTTAGCTTTTATACGAAGAATCTGCAAGAAGTCACTATTCCACGCGAACGAAGTCGCGGGCAAAAGCTAGTAGATACTAAATAACTTTTGTATTTAGTGCATTTGGCATGATGCCTGATTTTATGACATCAATATGTTTTAAACAATTATAGCTATGCATGAAGCATTAGTAAGTAAAAACATTTTTACACGACTGTCCAAAAAAGGAGTGCTATGTTTTTAGGGTTCATATATGTATGTACCTATGTGATTTTTAATCCAATGTAACTTCCAAACTCTGGGCAGAATTAGACAGCATAGCATTTCGTTGGGACGCTTAAATAAATGATAACATAATTTAAAATAGTTCTCAAAGCAGGGTTTATAATAATTATCTGGATGATAATTTTATAATTTGCCACAACTGGTCAATTACATAATATGTATAAACAATCTGTAATGTTTTCCCAAATTACCAAAACAATGGATTCTTGCTTACCAATATTTTCATGAAATACAAACAATATAAAATGATGTAAGTAATAATTATTCCATTCATCAGTCTTTATCGTATAGTAACTTTAAAAGCAAGGTTACAAGTTAACTTCAGAAGCAAAAGAAGTATCAATATACTTCCAAAGTAAACACAATACAAAAAAGTACCTACTATCGTAGCAGCATAAAAAAAATAAAAGCTCACAATCTTCAAACACTAATGTCGATTAATTCATAAACAAGCTACTATTGAAGAACAACGACTATTAAAAAAAGCAAATTTAGTACTACATAGTTTGAAAAGGTCACTTTATTTGTCCCTATATCCCTGTGTATGCTTAAATCTTTAAAACTACGTAACGGATTTTTATGTGGTTGTTCCAGAACTTTAAGATATAGTGATTGAAGAGGAAGAATTATATGTGTTATAACATCCATTAAATTGTGGAGACATTTAGTATTGTGCCCGTGCAAAGCCGTAGCAGGTCGCTATAGTTTTATAATGGAGTGTTTCAAAAACTATCTACGCCACAAAAATGTTAAAGAATTTCTGGCTTTCCGTTTGCTTAGCATACGTTTACCTGCTCACCCACATAGTAGAGCAGCGTGAAGCTGCTACGAGCAATTAATAGTGATAAGTCGACCGTTACAGGTATTCTACGGGTTTTTCTATCGACTCAAATTGTTCATTTGTTTAGAAAAATGTTTTGTTTAAGCAGTATTCTTATTTTAAAATATCAATATTAATAAAATTGCCAACAAACACAGTTATTTAAATTAATTGTTAAGTATATTATGTATAACGGAGTATCCGCTTCGTTTGATAAATTATTGCTAGCTTTTAGAACTTGATTTTGGAGAGAAGTACTTTTTTGGTTTTTCTATTCTTTTAAATTTACTATAGGTTAGTTATCAGCTGAATAGACTATGGAATAGTGTACACTATTTGGAAAGGGGTCGCACCTTGGATCAAGAAACAATTTCTTAGAACTATCAAGGAACCATCTCAATTGAGCGTTTGGCTACGCTACTTTTTCGCATAACATAAAATATATGAATGAATTTCCGTCTTTATGTCCGATCTAATGATCAAATTTTTATAAGATCATATTATTAATAGGATAAGCTATAGTGTATATGTAAAAGAATTTACGAAAATTTATTGATTTTACCCAAACAGATTTGAGCCTTATAAACTCAATGATAGACTCTCTGTCAAGATAGACTTTGAAAATATATATTGTTTTTAAATTGAATTATTTCATAATTTTGAATAATAGACATGGCACAGCAAAAACTAAGAGACATTTTGACATTAAAACTTTTTATAAGAGTTACCTGGCTTCGTCGTAGTTTTTACGAGGCCACAAATAAGAATGTAAAAAAGTGTGATGATGAGTCAAAACGAAGTTAGGTAAGCACAAACGAAATCTCATGTAAAAAAACTCAATTATTTTTCCCTTTAGAGGATATTCAAAATAGATGGTGTGAACCTGTATGGTTACTTAACTTAGAGTGCTGACAGTACTTTTAACTAACCAACAATCGGGGGCGAGTTGGAGCATCTAATAATTTAAGGGGCGAGTTGATGCACTTAGGCAATCAGGGGCGAGATCCAAGGGGCGAGCTGAGCCTACACCAGTATGTATACTAACGTATACATATTGGATTCAGCCTTATAATATGTTTATACGTATGTATGTATAAACATACCTATTAATTCATGACTCTGACTGACTGATCTCCAGAACCTTTTTGTTTTCGTCAGGTAGGTAGTCATCGACAAAGCCTAGCTATAAAATATCACGCTACGATCTGTGAGTGTAACAGCGCGAGATTAGTTAGTTTCTTATAACTTTAGGCAACTACTGCAAAGAATGTGCATGGTATCTTTTACCGAGCGTGAAGATCTCTTTAAAATGAGGGTTCCATAGTCCATTTTCGACCGATGATTGTGAAATGTTGAGCAAATAGTATCCATAATCAAGAATAGTTTTAAGAATAAAGACTTTAGACCTTACGCAAACACTCAATAATTACTTAAGTTAATAGAATTCTTGAGTCTGTAGGTTCGGTCAGTGGGTAGTATTAATACCTAATACTATCTTTAGGTTTCAGTAAAATTTATATCGTGACCTTTCTTATTAAAACAACAAAACAGGAGACGTACCTACCTTCCGAATTTAACTTAAACTTAAAATTTTCCTTGTTACTTATGTGCATGTTGTAGAAATTTTTCTCAAAATATGAATTACCATAAAGGATACTCCCTGATATAACTACCAGTAGGTAAACACTTGATCAAAGCGATGACGTTTCAGTAACATGAGTGTATTCAATTTAATACATTTTCAAAAAACAACCCTTTGCCAAAAATGTTGTGTATCCCTGCCGACTGTGACAGTTGATATGAGTCATTAAGTAATTCGGAAATCCGTTTGTCAAATTAATAACTTTTAATCATAAAGTTGTAACTCAAATAAGACACTTTTAAGTTTATAAGATAGCTTAATTATCTTAGAAATTATTAAATAACATTTTAATTCAACTTACCGAATTCGAAATATACAAAACAGCTGCAGAAACAAGAAATATGTAGGATACCACGTAAAAAAATGAACCACTATTTTCTTCTTATAAGAAACTTTCACATTTTGCCACACACTTCCACACGCGATTTCCGTGTCTTCACGTTTTAATTCACAACTAAAAATCTAATATGAAATTAAAACACTGTTTCGAGTATAAGAAAAGTAGTAAAGTATAAATTTTTGTACAAAAAGTAATGTTATTTATTTTATTTCGTTGAAGAAACCGCCATTATAATTTGAACATGCGCGCGCAGTACTGTCTGAAGTCAACTGACGCGGCCCGTCTCGAAATTCACTTCGATTCATATGAGTAGGCGAGATAGCATATGCGTTTTATGTGAGAAAGAAAGAGACAGCTAGAGGGTGTCATGTAGCGGTAATTTTTTTCTCCTTTCGCGCGTCAACTTTCTAAATCGCCTTGAGGTGTTCGGTCAAGATGATGTTTTGGTGTTAAAAATTGTTTTGATTCAAAAAAAATAAGGATAAAATGTTATTGAAATTAAAGTTATCATCAAATATATTTCTTTTAGTTGTAAATTAAGTTAATTTATTAAAATAAACATAATAATGTACATCCATCGGCTAAATAAAAAGAACTTTTGTGCCTGTGAACGTTATAGTTTATACATTTATAAGAACACGTCATTAATTTCTTTTATTATACGTAAAATGAAATCGTTATTAAGTTTTACCCTGTCGTAAAATGTTAACATTTTCAATGACGTCATCATTAAGAAAATCTGAACACTAAATTCGCAATTAACTAACACGGCTCGTTGGTCTAGGGGTATGATTCTCGCTTCGGGTGCGAGAGGTCCCGGGTTCAAATCCCGGACGAGCCCGTTGAAGATTGTACCGATCTTCTTTTTGTATCCTATTTTTCTTTGCTGATCCAATTACACAGCGTTATTAGTTATTTTAAATATTTTTTTCATGAACCTAATTTTTTATACAGTTATTTTTATAATTTTATATATTTTTCCAAACATAATTTGATTGTATATCTAAAAGATTTATTTATACTGGATACTTTTTATTATTTTTACTAGTAAATTTTGAGCTTATTTTGTAGACAAAAACTAAAATTAAATGTATGTATGCGACATCTAGCAGATAATAACTATACTATTATGCCACTAACAAAAAAAACTAACAGAGATGGCGCTGTGAAAACGTTTCTCAATTATAACTCGACTTTGGCAATCGACACGCTATGCACTTGTTTGCTGTGGGTTCAATGTTCTTTTCGATTTTGCCGAATAGCCGACAGGTGGCTAGTTCGGTTCGGACAATGACATTACCCCACTTCCCCAGTCAAATCAAGAAATCAACCCCGCGCTCCTTTCCCCTTGCTATAAACTTTACTGGCCAAAACAAAACTTTTTAACAGCACGTGTTACAAATCAAATTATGTGAAAAACCTTTACAACTTAATTCTAAAGTAGTTAATAGTGAATAAAAAGTGTTTTAAAGCCAGTTTGAAGCATAAATAACCGTTTATTGTAAGAAAATGTCGGGAGCAAGTACTTCTACGGGTCCTCCTATGACTTCGATTAGCGATGTAAACACATTATTTCAGAATGCAAAGAAATATGAAGAATTAAATGTAATTGGAACAGGTATGTATAAGTTTTGTGACAAAAATAACCTAATCAAGAACGCGGCGCGTCGCGACGCCGGCGTATGCCTATGTGTTTTCGCGCAAATATTACGATGTAGTTAATTGTTTTTTGTTTATTTTTTTCATTTTGTTGTTTTTAATGATTCAAATATGATTTTTAATGTTTTAATATGACCAATAAACACAATAAACCCGTTATTCGTGCGATATTTAATTTACTAAAAGTTATTTTAGTAGTATAACATGAATTCACACAATGTTTGTGTTATTGGTAAACTGTTTTCAATTTGATATAAATTATCCGTTTGTTTTCTATACGTTAAAGTTTATTTGTTGGTTCTTAACTTAACAACAGGCCTTTCTGAAAGTTTAAATTCCGTTTAAAGTTCTGGGTTTTTAAACTTTCAGTATTTGATTGCTATAGATCCAGTTTCAGAAATATATTGTTGTTTCAAAAGGAAAAAAAATAGTCAAACAAGCTTATCCATGCTTTAACTTTAGTATTGTGTTTAGCATTACCACAGATTAAGTTAAATCATTTTAAACCCTATTTAATTATGTAACTTTTATGACTGACATAAAATATTAATTAATTTTCTCAACAAAAATAAATTGTACTTTTTCCCCCTATCAGGGGTCAATAGATTCTTATAAATTAACAAAAAGGCAAAAATTTAAAACATTATCAGCCTAGATGTGCCTATCACCAACTTAAGTCATTCTCATAGGAGAACTTGTTTACAGCAAATAAAATAAGTTACTTTAATCTTATAATTTGATATTATAAATCCAGATTACCTTAAAATATTATCCTTTACCATATGCCAGTAATATTTAACAATCTTAGTAGGTACATTTATTTCTTTGTTATAGCTTCATGCACAAGAAAATGCATACAAGGTAGACTTAATACATTGAGTGACATATTACTCTGAAAAAGTTACATTATTACTTGCTAGGTTTCCAGTGTGCATGAACTTTAAAAGAGACTTCTGAGTTTGTTTCGGCATTTCTTCTCAGAGTAGTCAGATAGGAAATGCCTGCTTCGTCTAGTTTTTTGCATATAATTTTGAAGTGTAAAAGTGCTGTTTTATAGCCTATTTTCAAAAATAAATTAATTGTGTCATTGCATTGGAGCGGCCATCATAGCTTACTAGCCAATATCACTACATAGTATAAAACAAAGTCGCTTTTTTTATCCCTATATCCCTATGTATTCTTCAATCTCTAAAGCTAGACAACAGGTTTTGATGTAGTTTTTTTAAAAGATAGAGTTATTGAAGAGTAAGCTTTATATTATAATAATATCTATTAAATAGTGGAGTAATTTAGTATCAAGTATCAACATTGTACACGTCCGAAGCCAGGGTATATTGCTATCTTTTCATAATACTATCCATTGAACAAAATTACAGGTGCCTACGGAACAGTATACAAAGCGAGAGATCTCCACAATGGAGGTAATATTGTAGCCATGAAGAAAGTGAAGGTCGCACTCACGGAGGATGGGATACCTCTCTCTACACTCCGGGAGATAGCGCTGCTGAGGCAGCTGGAGGCGTACAGACACCCTAATATTGTCAGGTATTTGGGTACATTGCCAAGACAAAAAGTATTTCAACTTATATGTAAAAATGTTTTTAATGTGATAGTTTTTTTTTTATGTAATAGGTCGGCAAACGAGCAGACGGATTACCTGATGGTAAGCAATCAGCGCCGCCCATGGACACCCGCAACGGAGGAGTTACGAGTGCGTTGCCGACCTTTTAGGTATTAGGGATTTGCAGATTTAGGAACTGGGGAGGGATTAGGGAAGGGGAAGGATTGGGCCTCCGGTAACCTCACTCATACGGCGAAACACAACACTGGTTGTTTCACGCCGGTTTTCTGTGAGGCCGTGCTATCACTCCGGTCGAGCCGACCCATTCGTGCCGAAGCATGGCTCTCCCACACTTAAATAGATAGTTTGTCTATCATACGGATTACCTGATGGTAAGCAACCAGCGCCGCCCATCGACACCCGCTATGCCAGAGGAGTTACGAGGGCGATGCTGGCACTTCGGGAATTAGGGTCTCAGTGATTTAGCGATCGGCGAGTGGTATAATTGGACCTCCGTTGTAATTAACATTGAGTCTTGACCAGCGCCATTAATCTTTATTTTGGTCATCACTATTTTTTTTTATGTAAGTAATAGGTCGGCAAACGAGCAGACAGATTACCTGATGGTAAGCAATCAGCGCCGCCCACGGACACCCGCAACGGAGGAGTTACGAATCCCTAATACCTTCTAGGGATTAGGGATTTGGAGATTTAGGGATTGAGGAGGGATTGGGGGAGGAGAAGGATTGGGCCTCCGGTAACCTAACTCACAGGGCGAAACACAACGCTGTGGTTGTTTCACGCCTTTTCTGTGAGGCCGTACTATAGATTTGGTTATAACATATAAGCTTAAAGCACTCAAGGTTGGATATGTTTCTTCCCTTCTTATCCATAGACACAGCAGGAGTTGAAGGAACTGGTTGAGGTTGTTAGTAAGAGTGTGACATTATCCCCAAAAGCATCGCACTCGTAACTCCTTTGGTGTTGCGGGTGTCCTTGGGCGGCGTCGATTGCCTAACATCAGGTAATGCGTATGCTCGGTTGCCGACCTATACACCTATAATTAGTTAACATATGTATATTTGATCCCCAGACTCCTAGATGTCTGCCATGGAGGCCAGTCTCTAGAGCGGGACCAGCAGCTGGTTCTCTTCCTGGTGTTCGAGCACGTTGACCAGGATCTCGAGTCATTCCTCAAGAAGTCACAAGCACCGTTGTCACATGGAGTCATTAGGGTAAGTAACTTCCAATTTCAAATCTAGATAGACCTTTTTTTGTCAGGAGAAAATCGTCAAATGACTTCTCCCGCCCAGGGTAAGGCGAGAGTGAGTTTCAGACTCTTACTGACTAAAAACCTTCCTGTTCCTTCTCTTGCTCTGGGCTGAGGCCGCGGTGCCTCATTGCGCTTACCCCGCAACCCCGCAACCCCGGCTGAACATCAGCCCTATAGGGCCCCGTCTGTGGTGGTCTATTGGCTCTTTGAGGCGCGCGCGCAACGCTACGCGCCGTACGCTCGGGTCTGGTTCTGGTCGAGCGGCGAGCTACCCTTATTCGCCGTCCGGAGACCCGCGCTTAGAGCTTAGAGATTAACACTTAAAAACTGCGCCGTCTGTGATTGTACTGCGTTACGAATTATAGAATTGATACTTAGCCAAACTTGGGTTGGGGCCCAACAAGGCACATCTTCAGCCGGGGTTGAGAGACAACTGCAATAAGGTACCGTGGCCTCGGCCTGAAGCAGGAGAAGCAATGGGGTAATCAGTAAGAGACACTCCCTCTCGCCTCATCCTGGTCAAAAGAAGTCATTTGATGATTTTCCCGCCAACCAAACTTTAGTTTTATATATTTTTCACGCACATCACACATTCTCATCCTTTACGTGCTCTCCGCTGGGCAACGGCCTCTCCTCACACGGAGATAGCATGAACCCTTTTTCAACACACACGGTCAAGGCGGATTGGCTATTAAAATAAGCCAAGATTTCCTGACGATGTTTTCCTTCACCGTATGTCAGTGGTGTCTAAATAATCATAGAAAGTACATATGTATAACTCTGGTAAAGTTTAAGTGTGGGAGAGCCATGCTTCGGCACGAATGGGTCGGTTCGACCGGAGTGATACCACGGCCTCACAGAAAACCGGCGTGAAACAACCACGGCGTTATGTTTCGCCGTGTGAGTGAGGTTACCAGAGGCCCAATCCTTACCCTCCCCCAATCCCTCCTCAATCCTTAAATTTCCAAATCCCTAATCCCTAAAAGGTCGGCAACGCACTCGTAACTCCTCCTTTGCGGGTGTCCATGGGCGGCGCTGTTGCTTACCATCAGGTAATCCGTCTGCTTCTTTGCCGACCTATCACATAATTTAAAAAAAAGTAGTAATAGTATTTCTCACTTCCCTTCTATTGAAAATAACGATTTACTCCCTTTGAATTAACTGTCACCATTGTAGATAAATTGTTATCAGTATCACTTCATAGTATAGTTTTCATAGTTCATAGTATGATGTTATACTCATAGTATTCTACTTCGCTTGCTTCTTGCATCTACTATTGGATTCTGCATCACCCAAAGGTCGAAAAGAGAATGCTCAATGCATTAAGTCAGTGAAACATGTTGAAACAAATACCCCCTCCACCTGCAATAATAACAGCCTTGTATTAAGTATTACCACCTACACATGTTTTGCGAATAAAGTTATCTTTATATTTCAAAGATAAAGTGATTGAAGGGAAAAATTCTATACATACAGGGTGTAAAAAGACACTTAACGAAGCCGTTAACTACGCATACTGCAGTTCTAACTAAGTAGCTTTACGCTAAAATTATCACTGGGAAACTACTTTTATTTTTAGCTCAAAAAAAATGCGTCTTTGACCTTCAATATCTCGAGAACGCGTGGAGTCCCAGCTATATGATCTTAAAGAAAAAAATTATCCAAATAATGGGTTGAATACGTGGCTTTCGGCTTCGTTAAGTGTCTTTTTACACCCTATATAATAACATGTATTAATTGAACAGAGTTACACTTCTCACGATAGTTGCCATAGAAAAAACTACCCTATTAACATATGTTTTCTCATTTTCTTCAGAGTATGTCCTTCGACATCCTATCAGGCATAGACTTTCTGCACTCACACCGCATCGTCCACCGAGACCTGAAGCCCCACAACTTGTTGGTGACATGTTCAGGTCGAGTCAAGCTGGCTGACTTCGGCTTAGCCAAGACATATGACACCGATATGAAATTGACCAGTGTGGTAAGTATTCATACCTTATTTTACTTCTTATTAATATTATAAATGCGAAAGTTTAAGACAATTTTAAGTGTGGGAGAGCCATGCTTCGGCACGAATGGGTCGGCTCGACCGGAGTGATACCACGACCTCACAGAAGACCGGCGTGAAACAACCACAACGTTGTGTTTCGCCGTGTGAGTGAGGTTACCGGAGGCCCAATCCTTCCTCGCCCTCAATCCCTAAATCACCAAATCCCTAATCCCTAAAAGGTCGGCAACGCACTCGTAAATCCTCCGTTGCGGGTGTTCGCAAATATAATAAATCGCCGAAACAACTGGTTCGAATTGAACAATTATTTTAGCGTTTGTTAGTCCATTTATCGAGGAAGGCTTTAAAGTATAAAAGATCACGCTACGATCTGTTGGAGCTGTGCAGCGGATAAAAATAATATAGCTAGTATCTTTTATTATTAGTTTACTAGCTACTCTCGCGCGGTTTCACCCGCTGCTCGGCTCCCTTTGATCGTAGCGTGATGTTTATTACCTATAGCACTCAGGAACATTGTAGCTATCTATCTATCAGTGAAAGAATTTTGGCAATCCGACCAGCGGTTCCAAAGATTACCCCCTACATACAAACTTACAAATTTTACCTCTTCATAATATTAGTATAGATGTAAAAAAAATATCTTTTTTTAAGGTGGTGACCTTATGGTACCGTCCCCCCGAGGTCTTACTAGGCACGAGCTACAATACCGCAGTGGATGTTTGGTCAGCTGGCTGTGTACTGGCCCAGCTTCACACCAGGAAACCCTTGCTGCCTGGTGCGTCAGATTCTGATCAGCTACATTGCATATTTAGGTAAGATGTTATGGAACCTATATGTTATGGAATAGGAGACAAACGAGCAGACGGTTTACCTGATGGTAAGCAATCAGCGCCGCCCATGGACATCCGCAACAATAGAGTAGTTATAAGTGCGTTTTGGGGATTAAGTGATTGGGGGAAGGGAAGGATTAGGCCTCCGGTAACCTCTCTCACACAGCGAAACACAATGCTGTGGTTGTTTCACGCAGGTTCTCTGTGACGCCGTGGTATCACTCCGGTCGAGCCGACCCATTCCTACCGAAGCATGGCTCTCCCACACTTAAATGTGATGAGTAATGTGTGATCCAATAATTGTTGTCCTGGGTCATAAGCGCTCAGCAAGCGATACATTAAAATGTGTCTAACTAGCCACACTTTTTCATATTTGTCTCTTTTTCACTCGCGATTATTGAATAATGCCATCTCACTTTGACGTCTAAACATACGAATTGTTTATGCGTGTATCAGTGCGTCGTTTTTGAAAATCGAATTTTGTTTAGGTAACCTATCTACACCATTTTACTTATAATATCATTATGTGTAAATCTTAGTGTAGGGTAACGTTTATTTTTTTCAAATAAGATAAGTTTAACTTGAATCAGCTCTCTGGTGTGATCCATGGGCGGCACCGATTGCTTACCATCAGGTAATCAGTATGCTCGTCTATAAAAAAAGAACTTCATTTATTTGAATATGAATAAAAGACTTAGATCTTGGTTACTTTGACTTTAATATCACAGTACACAGTTGGCCAGCTCACTGCACCAGAGTTTGAATGTTTGACTGCACGGTTGTCGCGGTGGCTGGGCAACAGGCTGCCGCGCAACGTGTCGAGAGTTCGATTCCCGCACGGAACAACGAACCCACGTAACAGGAGAAAATCCTAGTGAGGGCCAACGTTAAAAAAAATAGTTACACTGTCAATATTGTCGGTATTATCTCGACTATGCTATGTATAGTAGTCAATGACATTGTCAGTTCTACTGGTTTCCTAATTAGTATGATTAATTGGAGATGTTACAACATACAACATTTATAAAAGTTTTTTTTTTACTTGCAATAAACTAGTGCTTGACTGCGATCCCACCTGATGGTAAGCAGTGATGCAATCGTTGATGGTAAGGCGCACTAGTTTATTAAGAGCCTATTCACTCTAGCCTTGAAGACACCTAAATTGTATTATTTCTTTGCAGATTGATAGGTAGACCATCCCGGTCAGAGTGGCCAGACAACGTATCTATCATGCTGGACAGCTTCCCGGAGTACCAGCCGCAGGACCTGGCTGAAGTTTTACCTAGGATACACTTCCAAGCCCTAGAATTAATTAAGGTAACTATTTTTTGTATAATAAATATGTCGGAGGGACGAGCGGGATCGTCGGAGAGTTTGTTTCACCTTCCGGGTAGTGTGGATGATGTCTCTTCGGAATAAACTCTCAGATTAATCACAAACTACCTCTTTAATCGGTTTACTTAGTAATTTACATGAAATGCGGAATGCACTGCGCAACGTGGAGAGTTCTGTGCTTGCGTCCATTCAGTCTGGCGGCTCACTTTACCAAAATCCCATTTTTAAACCAAGCACAAACTTAAGCCAAGCGATGGCAGCTTCATGTCATAGCCTGACGTTTCGCACGATCAAAGCGCCACCCCGCCGACAAATATTATAAAATAGCAACGTTTATTGAATGTGAATGTGCCGCTAATATGGTAGTTAACTAGTCAATTTTACAAAGTCAAAGTCAAAATCTTTTATTTCAATTAGACCCATACAGGCACTTTTGAAAGTCAAACAAAATTTTAAAGATATAAAGTGTCAATCTGTCGGTCAGTCCTCTTAGTGAAGCTATCCGCTCGTTCCAAAGTGTAGATTCCGACACACATCATCATCAGCCTATAAATGCCCACTGCAGAGCAAAGGTCTCTTCTCACACGGAGAAGGTACTAGGTACGGCATTACTCACCCCGGATTGGTGATTTCAAACGTATAAAAAATTTTGAAAAGTCCACTAGCTTTTGCCCGCGTATAATGGCTTCCTGCAGATTTTTGGTATAAAAACTATCCTATGTCCTTTCTCGAGTTCCAAACTATGTATGTACCATAGTTCACAGAAATCAGTTCAGTGGTTTAAGACAGACAGACAGATAGAGTTACTTTCGCATTTATAATATTAGTTTGGATGTTTCCGAACGATGTTTTCCTTTACCGTATGTCAGTGGTATCTTTATCTATAGACTGAATGAACAGTAAAGTATTGGAAAACTAAATCAAATATGCTCTCGTGTTCGATGATGGAGTGCGGAGGTGCGCCTGCCCCACCCCCCTTCCTAGGTGACGCGGCGCCCTCCGTAGGAGCCTGGTGCACCAGCTATGAACCTCGCCTTGTGCATGCACAGCCTCTCGACCAGGTCAATTCATGACTTTCCCCCATTTCCCCACACAAAAAGGCCGTCAAAAATTATAAATAAATGTTTATTTGTCACTAGCTTTTGTCCGCGTCTCCGTTCACGTGGAACAGTGCCTTTCTGCAGATTTTTTTTATAAAAACTATCCTATGTCCTTTCTCGAGTTTTAATGTCTGAAATCGGTTCAGTCGTTTAAGCGTGAAGAAAAGACAGACAGACAGACAGAGTTAATTTCGCATTTATAATATTAGTATAGATATAGATAAAAAGGATGTATAAAAATGGCTTCAAAAATAGGATTTATAATGTTCATGCTTCACTTTATTTCAATACAGAAAAAGAATTGGGTAGTTTCCTAGGTCAAAAATAAATTAATACGACGTTTCAATACAATAAAATACTGAGAAATAAGTATACTTTTATTCATCAATCGATCGACACACTAAGTTTTAGTTTTTTTTAGCTAATTATTAAAAAATAAGTAGGCTATTTGACGCAAAAATGTTATGACAGTTTTTCATACAAATTTCATAGAAAAGTATCGTTTTTGACGTTTGGATAAAAGTATTTAATTTGACTATTTTGGAAACTACCGTATTACTAATGTATTATTATATCTTTTTCAGGGTATGTTAATATTCGACCCGGCCAAACGACTGACGGCGCTGGATTGTCTCGAACACCCGTACTTCACCGATGAACCACTGTAATAAGCCCTTGGTTAAAGCTCTGAAAAAAAACCCACCTATTAATAATTACTACTTTGTGTCGTAGAAAGTATTTTTGACTTGACTGTACGGTTGGTGCTTGGCAGCCGTACAACGAGTCGCGGGAACAACTCTTTGTGTGATCCACAAATTGTTGTTCCGGGTCTAGGTGTGATGTGTATGTGAAATTCTATGTTTGTTAACTCACCCACGAACACAGGACAAAGTCCAAGTGTAGGGCAACGTCTAAAAAAAAACTAAAAAAAAAATTAAGTAGTATTTTTTTTATTCTAACTCTCGTGAGACATTCTAAATTAATTATTATGTTTTCGGCTTACTCACGTAATAATTTGACGAGATACTCGACTAGTTTCAAGCCATGCTAGAGGCCCATATTCATGAGCAGCATTCTGCGAAACGCGACGTGGCGACTGTCGAGTATCTCGTCAAATTACGTGAGTAAGCCGAAAACATAATAATTAATAAAGTATTTGATTCAATCAGAAAAAAATATGTCTAATGTTGTAAATTAATTTAAAACAGATATTACAATAGTCAGCCGGGGTTGCGGGGTAAGCCCAATGAGGTACCGCGGCCTCGGCCTAAAGCAGGAGAAGGAACGGAGAGGTTTTTAGTCAGTAAGAGCAAGGTAATAATATCTACAAGTATTCCAACTTCATAGAAACGGCCGAAACGCGAACTATACCTACGCGCCCGATGTCGGGGCGCGCGTTTGGGACGAAGACAGACGCGGCTGTACCGCAGTGACGAACGGACGGTGTGTTGTCTTTTATTTAGAAATCAGCTCGAGTACATTATTTAATATGACGAATAGGAAATATTGTGCTGTTTGGTTGCATGAATTCGTCAATAACGCATCCAGACATAAGTTTTTTTAAATTACCTGGAATCTCTGAAATGTAAGACTATAAAATAATTTTACTTACTAGTAGCTTAGGTAGGTACATAATGCGTGTCTTTATAATGGATCATTATTTCCTTTTATCTCAAGAAAACAGGTGTTTGAATTTATAAATAAAATGAATTAAGTTATTGAGACGAGTGAAATAGGTAGTTATAGGCGGTTCTGGTTCTGAATGAATCATGATACGTTAGGTACCTACCTACTTACGCTTGTGTTAAAACGGTTCATGTATGTTTTGTTAGTTTGTAGAACGCAAAGTAGAGAGTGTGGTATTTTATTATTAATAATATTTGTTTCTTATCTGTGTTTATGAATAATACTAGAAAAAATAAATTTGACAGTCTCTGTGTCATTAGATAGTTTTCGAAATTTTCATAAAGAGTTTTTGCTGCTGCTTTAACAACATAATACCAATAAAAACTGTTTTTTTTCTCGGTTTTAATAACAACAATAATAACAGCTAGACTCATGTAATATTTTGATGTTTGAGGGTTGTGATTTTAGAACATTCGTAGTCAGCTGTTCAGTTCGGCATTGGTGGCCAAAGAAAATTTTTTTGTTTATTTTTAAAGCACTTTATTTGTTTATATAAAAAAAGGATATTTACAATCACAAAACTAAATGGAAACAGAAAGTAGACAAAGGTAATTAAAATACTGGAGACGAGCAGCCCTAACGCATGTTTACGTACCGCGCGGCTGTAGGTATTTATTTCTTTCAAGCGGCCGAGTTACAATACTGTATGATATTTTTACTGTGGTAAGAGTCAGACATTCCTGAGAAGTCATGAACTTAATGTTTGCTGAATGTCAGTCTTACTGACTAAACACCGCCCCGTTCCTTCCGCAAACCCGGCTTTGGACTAATGGCTGATTATGGCGATTGATAATTGTATTGTTTGAAGTATAAGAATTTAAATTATTTTTTTATTACAATCATTTTTAATAATTACTTTACATAGGTAATTTCACTCGATTTTTTATAACGTACACAACAGACATACAATCTTAAATATATGTTCATATAAAAGAAACAAATGGCAGGAATATATTTACGTGTCATGGCGAGTCGCACTCCAGTAGTGTCGGTTTCATACATAGGTTTCATACCAAATTCATTGTTATTATGATTAGAGATAGAAATTAATACTTGTGGCCCGTCATGCATGACACTTATGTATGTTTCCGCCTTACGTACAGGATATTAAAACTAATCTTAATATTTTAATAAAATTTTGATTTGATTTAAGAAAAAAATAATAATTTTTAATAATAAATACAGACAGTATCTGTTAAAATATTATCGAATGGCGGCTCCTGTTTTTCCCCGCTAGACGGCGCTTTTGTACACTTTCTGTCTCATCCAATAGAAAATAATTATGGTCTATCTATATAAAGAGCTCGTATAAATACATACAAAGAATTCAGGTAAATACCTGATTGTAAACGTTTTTACATACAATTTAAAGACAACTTTTAGATAAAAAGGCATGCCAAGATTGTTTACATTTAGTTAATTACCTTAATCTATAGACCATTGCTAGCGAAATCACATGTTTTTTAACACCACAGTCTAGGGCCTAGACTGATAGGACCATAGCGCCATCTAGTTAGCAAAACAGAAGCCTCCATTTAATCAAGTTTTTGGTTAATTTTGAAACATAATTGTATTAAAATTAAGGTTTCGCTCGTAGAATCAATAGGTATAAGGAAAAGAAAAGTACACTTTGTTACATCCTATTAAGGTTCCTATTGGTATAACCATCTCGTTTTTGCATTTAATTATTAATCTTTCGATATAAAAGTAATGTTAGTGTTATATTAAGTGTGGGAGAGCCATGCTTCGGCACGAATGGGTCGGCTCGACCGGAGTGATACCACGGCCTCAAAGACAACCGGCGTGAAACAACCACAACGTTGTGTTTTGCCGTGTGACTGAGGTTACCAAAAGCCCAATCCTTCCCCTACCCCCAAAATCTACATATACCTAATCCTTACAAGTTTGGCCACGCACTCGTAACTCTTCCGTCTTTGCGGGTGTCCATGGGCGGCGCCGATTGCTTACCATCAGGTAATCCTCGCTTAACTACATATCCTTTAAAAAAGTGTTAATAAATTATGAATAGCAAAATGAAACCACACGTGCCTTAGCATAAAACCTATTTTCGATTCAAACTCTTTAATATTTTTATAAACATATACATTTTTTACTCTTAAATCAACTTTAGTTATACATGATACAGTTAATATTTGACTGTATGTTGTTAAGATGCATTTTTTCATTGTAATTTGTAAAAAAAATATAAATGTAAGGTGCTTAGTGACAATAAATTATCTGGCGAACTCAGTAAAGGCTGGAAAAGAATAATAATGTGTGTTTTATTCCTTTTTAAAAATGTAATGTTACGCACGATGGTGCTACGGTTCATAGAAGACAGGCATCGGGTAGTACCTAGCTAGTTAGCAGTCCTTGTACAGTACGGCCGACGCATCTTGGCGAGTCTGAAGTTAGCCGTTTGTCTGCGCAATTTAGGAACAAAATTGTGTACTGTGCAGCTAATCGGCTAACTTCAGACTCGCCAAGATACGTCGGCCGCACTGACACATCACGTGTACGTGAAATTGTATTTTTGTAAACGAACCCACCATACAGGAGAAAATCTTAGAATTTGAGAAATATTTTTATTATTTTATATTATCCGCTTGAATGCAACGAAGTGACTTTTTGTCCTTTTTTCGTTTTGACAGTTGAGTGCAATCAAGGGACTATTGTCCCTTTTCCGTTACAGTGCGACACGACATCAAAATATATTTCTTTCTATAACACGCTGTTTTAATACTTTTTCTCTTTTCTTCTCGAATCTTAATTAATACATTTCTTCATTCTAAAAATACGACAGTACAGTACGGCCGCCGTATCTTGGCGAGTCTGAAGTTAGCCGTTTGTCTGCGCAATGGACCTTTTAGGAACAAAATTGTGTACTGCGCAGCTAATCGGCTAACTTCAGACTCGCCGAGATACGTTGGCGTTATTGTACTGTTAAACAATCGGTTCATTCGGATCGTAGACAGAGAAACAGGGAAAGACAGAGAATAATCCTCTATTCTGTGTCTACGATTCCGATTGAAAAAGTGGAAAAAAATAATGTCAGTCAGTTGTTGGCACAGAGTACTATATTTTTTTTTATGTAATAGGTCGGCAAACGAGCAGACGGATTACGTGATGGTAAGCAATCAGCGCCGCCCATGGACAATCGCATCGGAGGAGTTACGAGTGCGTTGCCGACCTTTTAGGGATTAGGGATTTGGAGATTTAGAGATTGGGGAAGGGGAAGGATTGGGCCTCCGGTATATATAGAGTAGAGATACAACTCATAGTGCTGCTGGAATCTTGTTTTGGAACTACTAGTATCAACATATAGGTACCTACATTGACGGATGTTTTGTTTTGTTTGAATGAGTATTTATTTAGCCATATATTAAAATTAAACTAGTTGGTTTAATAAAAAAGACTTTATTTATTTCGTTTGAAACACTTGAAATAATATTTCTTTGCTTTTGCCTTGAACAAAATAAATCTTCGTCATAACACTCAGCTTTCTCCTGTTATTTAAAGTTTTGTAAAGCATGAACAACGTATAAACGTAGTGGTTACATACTCTTTGAGCATGAAATTCAACACGGCCGGAGGAACCGAAGCTCTACTCAACGGACTTAGGTGGAACTGTGGAAGAGCACTTTGTTACTGATTATAAACTTTAAACCACAAACAAACACCGATAGCACTAGAAAACAGCACCAAATTTGAATTTGATTTGAAATAAAATATTGTTACATACCTATATTAAATACCAAAAAATATATTTTTCTAATAATATTCAAATTGATGTTAAATACGGACGGTGTGTTAAGGACCTAACTAAAATTATTTAAATTAAGTGGACTCTAACACTCAATACATACATTGGTTCAATGAACAATAGTACAATATCGGCAAAACTTAATGGGGTATGTGCGCGGGTCGTCGGCTGTTTCCGAAGATGGAAGAGCGGTGGAGCGGAGCGGGCCACTACCACATCAGGTGCACAGCTTTATCATCAGC